AAACCTGTAGGAAGTGCACCTTGAGATCTGATTGCCAGTTTCCATGAAAGAAGGAAAAGACTCAGCTGAAGGAAGAACAGCACGTGCTGGAAGAAATCAGATCTGCCTGTGGAGAAGGYTGGAGCGCCACAGAGCAAAGGAGTGGGGTCTGCCCATTGTGCGTGCTCTTCTGCCTGCTTTGGTGGGAGCTCAGGGAAAGGTTGGTGCCCATTGTCCATGGCATAATGTGAAACAGAGGATTMCACTGAGCAATAAAACCACTCAAGTGGAGACCTCCCAGTTTCTTCAAATGGATGTTTTTCCTCTCCTATTGCTCTGGATAATACAGTTACATTTACCAGAAGTCAGTAAATATTGCTGGATTTAGAATGATTTCTCTTTTGGCTTTACTGCAGAAGTCCTTTCTCACCAGAGAAACGCTCCAGTGGATTAATCCCTGTGTGCCTTGGCCACACAAAGCCAAGGGTGACTCGTTTTGGTGGCTTTGCTGGTGGAAGGGATTCAGGGGCTGAATTGCCCTGACCTCTCCTCTCCTCTCCTCTCCTCTCAGATCCGTGTGATGGCCCAGGGATGGTCCATGGTCCTGGGACAGGGGCTGGGAGGGAACATCTGAAAGGGCCCGAAAATGGAACCCAGGCAGAGCTCATCCCGGGGCTGCTGCAGCTCCGTGTGCCCAACCCGTGCCCAGGGGACCAAGGAAATCCCTTTTCACATTAAGKTTTTGTTGTACCCACTCTTGTTTCATTGCCTTGGTTTAAAAGATGGCACAGCTTCCATGGGAGGGAAGGAKAAACCAAAGTGTTTGAAAATACAATAGCCCCAGCCTGGTAGCAGCTGGATTAAGGAACACATTTAAAACTCCTTGAACATGGAACATTTACAAGGACTGTTTTAATGCTGATATCTGTCACTCATCACNTGGTGCTGGCAGGGTTGTTGTGCTCCCCTCAGGTCCTGGGAATGCCCAAATCCATTCACTGCTCAGCAGAGCTGTCACCCCGTCCTGCATCAGCTCAGGGCTGGGTGCTGCTCAGGGTGAGGATTTCCCCTTGGCTTTTTTTAATCTGAAATTTTTGGGTAAAATGGACAAAAGTCAGTCAGGGAAGRAAATTATCAGCACACAAGGATTTAGTCACTGTTAAAAGTAAAAAACCAATCACAAGATGTATCCTAGAAAGGAATTATAAATCACAGGACTTACGAGGACACAAGCCTATTTTGCTAGGCCTAAAGTGTGTTAATAAAGCCTCGTATCAA